TGCCTCCAGACTACCTTTGGGTGGATAGAGAAATAAAAAATAAGAACAGGGTAGGTGGCGCACGTAATAAACAAAAATAAATATATAGGACTCAAATATACATAAATATAAACAAACAAAATATCTAGAATGTTAAAAAAAGCTATCATAAGGTTGGCAACCCTGAGATCAAACGATCCATTCAAGTGCGCGTCTATTGAAAGGAACGGGAAATTTCTGGTCGCTCGTTTTAGGTCCGTGTGTTTTTTTAGTTGAGTAATACAATCAGGTGTAAGTAGATATAGCCCAGGGCCCCACAAATTCACGATCTACCCCTGGGTGGACCGACCTCATGGTAAATGGTAACAGTAGCCTATATACGATGGTAGGTGGTGTAGTAGAACAGCTCTTCAATCAATCAAATCAAATTATCTTTATCCAAGTAGGACTATTACAGACTCTTATGATATGTCAAATCTACCGTCAGTTCGGAATGATTTCGAGATGAGAAGAACTGACAAGAATTAGAACACTTCTACTTTTAATGGACACGGGTTCGATCCTCGCACCATAGAAACATTTGTATTGATCTGGATGATTTTTATGTATACTATGTGTGTATTTACCCTAAAGCTGTTGGCCGCAAACCAAGTTAATTTTGATAGAAATTAATCACCATATATTTTACAAAAAAAAATTTGAAAGTTTGAATTTCTTTATAACCCTGGACAATTCACACAGTGGCTTCTGATACCAAGCAAAGCATACCTTGTGTTATTTTTTTGGAAATACATACTAAGGAAGAATTATAATTTGAAAGATTATTTTTCTTTCTATTAGTTGTCTAGTATGGAAATGGTCGTAATAATGTGTACAGCAGGAGTGTCGGTTCTGTAAGAACAACGGCGAGCGGCTGTCATACTACCGCAGTCATCCGCTGCGCGATGCGGACGGGGTCGCGTGCCCCGTGCTGCGCGCCTTCACCTGCCCGCGCTGCGGCGCCCGTGGACCGCGCGCTCATACCGCCAAGTACTGCCCGCTCAGCACCAACGAGGGTGAGTTGACGCATTGTAGGTTACACTACACGCCGCCAAGTACTGCCCGCTCAGCACCAACGAGGGTGAGTTGACGCATTGTAGGTTACACTACACGCCGCCAAGTACTGCCCGCTCAGCACCAACGAGGGTGAGTTGACGCATGGTAGGTTACACTACACGCCGCCAAGTACTACCCGTTCAGCACCAACGAGGGTGAGTTGACATATTGTAGGTTACACTACACTACATACCGCCAAGTACTGCCCGCTCAGGACCAGCGAGGGTGAGTTGACATGTTGTAGGTTACACTACACTACACACCGCCAAGTACTGCCCGCTCAGCACCAACGAGACTAAGATGTTATGACTCTTATCCTGTAATTTCACTGCATATTCACACTCTATAAAGGAAAACACAACTTACAAAAAAAAGTTACTGGCCGGCTAAAATAAATGAGACTGAGGAACGTCACGCAGACGACTTATTAAAAATTATTGCTAATTATAGAACGTATGAAATCAGCTGCCATGATGCGCAGCGTCCGTATGGCTTCAGGGCGAATCCGTTCAGCTCCCGCCCCCGTCGCGGCCACGCGCCACGTGACCTACGTCCCCGAGACTCCGCAGGAGGCCTACGGAGCACCCCTCGCACCGCTGTGGGCAGCTCTCGAGCAGAAATTGATGCTGTAACTATTAAGATGCTTTGAACATGTTGAGGACACCTGTCTTGGCTTATAAAGGGATCTATATTAACGCCAAGACTTTGATAATTAGACATATCTACTGTAAAGATCCTGTTATATGAAAACATTATTATGTGTAAAAAATGCTGCTTTTGTTGATTTTTTTCAGTAGGATGGTAATTGTGAATTATTAATTTTGTTCTTCAATGATTGTAACATAGGAATTTGAGACTTATTCTCATTTTCATAAGGGAGAACGTTTTATCTCCGTCTCATTATTCTTCAAACGCTAAGAACACTATTTTGTAGTTTGCCAAACTTGCACTGAATAGGTGTCCTCTGTAGATATCAACATGTAATTTTGGTTTAATCTAATGTTTAACTGTAAGGCTTTGACAGTGAACGTATCATTAATTTTGTTGTTACAGCGCTCTCTAGTTGTTAATTGTTATAACTTATCTGATTGATTTGCTACGCGATCGCTAGATGTCGCTGTTTCTATTTTTGATTATTTTGATATAGTTTATATTAGTATTACTAGATGGCGTTGTTACTAATTTTATTAATTTAGTATTCGGTATATTTCTACACGTTAGTAGAATAATAATATGATAAGAATTTAATATGTCAATTGACTATAACAATAATGTTGACAAACTTGACCCTACTTGTAATCATTGAGTATTTATATTTCGTGCCATCAAAATATATTTACAACATTGTTATTATATTTCGCAACAAGAGCGTTATCTGTTGATTATATTTTATAATAAGACAATATTGGTAAATCAACTGCCTTTATTTACATAACGAATTCTATTTTCATTTATATGACATGTAATTTTCATATAAAATATTTGTTCCATATTCTGTGACCAATGGCGGACTTTACACCTTCATTCACACAATGTTCGATGAAATTCTCAACATTTCAATTAATTTTTCAGCATTTTAAATTGATAATATTCATCATTATTAATTAAAATGCAAATAAACAATTTTAATTTCTATATATAAAATAAAATAGGCAATATTTCAGATCACAATAATAGATTGGTTGACGTTCAATAGATGGCGTTACTAGTAAAACTTTGCTTAATGTTTTATTAAGGGAGGCTTTATATGTTACAGTCATCTTCTATTTTTACTTTGAAATATAATAAATTGAATAATATTATAATTAAAAAACAATAATTTATCCGCATGTCACGCTGTTTTGTAATAAAATAATATAAATAACGACGTTAGAAGGCTGTAAGTTGACACTTACCTATCTATTGCAGAATTGTTGATTAATATGTAGGATATTATTTTGTTTCTATAATAGTTTACTATTGTAATTATTTTCACTGATTGCTGTTGGTATTTTTGGAACCAATAAAGTTAATTAATCAGATTTTATTTTACTTTCCATGTTAACAACTTTAAAGGCAAATAAGTTCGAGGTAGATAAGATAAATATACCGTCTTTAACAGCAAAATTTCCCTCCATTTTCCACCATATTTGCTTTTTTTTTCCATATTCGTCGATCTCCTTTTCAGTGATGCAACAGGCAAAGATCCTTAGACCGTACAGCCTAGTCCCACCATATTAGATTTTTTTTTATTCGGTTTTAATGTCTCCAGGAGAGACAAAAGGACTCTGTCTATACAGCCATTCTCTTCGATAGTAGAAGCAAGCAGTTAGATTTTCAACAGGGTATTGGAATCAACGCAGATCCGGTGCAGAATGTGTAAATTTCTAGAATAAATTTAATCGGCTCGCTAAATGTACGGGGGACAGTGATGACCCATCAACTGTCACGTAAGCAGCTATTACAGGATCTGAGATCGAAGTTCTTGGGAACCCTTTTTTTATCCGAAATTATGCTACATTCATCCGATAACACACCGCGCGGTCTCTCAGATTAGGGGTTTACCGTCTTAGGCCGAAACCTCGAGGGCCCATGATAGTTTTTCTGGTCTACTACAAGACGTGCCTGGAGACCATCTTGTTCTAATCCTGGCGCATTTGTCAAGCTATAGTAGATAGATATTAATAATTCTATTAATATACCTGGTTAATAATAATAATCATAATACTCGTAACAGGGGGGAAAGGGGATTGTTAGTAATGTGGACTGATGATCTTATCGCTAGCAATGTACCATGTCAGGTTGACCTCCACGCGGTTCCCCCTGGAAACCATCGTGATAAATTCTTGGTGAATTTGTCACGATGGGCTAACTGACCTGACTTCATTCTCATCCTATCATCCTCCACTGGTGCCCCGCCAGCGTAAACCGTTAGCGCAGGCGGGTGCACCATTACATTATCATTTATAAAAAAAATACTCGTAACAGCGACTAGGAAGCCAATTGTTAAGAAAGTTATATCATCTATAGGTGCTCCTGCAGTATATATATACCATATATATAAAATTCTCGTGTCACAGTTTTCGTTCGCATACTCCTCCGAAACGGCTTGACTTGAGAATCGTCATGAAATTTTGTGAGCGTATTGAGTAGGTATGAGAATCGGCCAACGTCTATTTTTCATCCCCCCTAAATGTTAGGGGTAGTCCACCCCTAATTTTTTTTTTTAATTTTAAGGCAAAACAATGTTTGTCGGGACAGCTAGTATAGGTATATATATATATTACATTATTCATTCATGTGTCTGTTTTATATTTAATTTTTTTTTTATTATTTATATTATATTTTTATACACTATCTTACACTTATAATAGATTTTAGGTATTTTGGTAATTATCCATTAAAAACTAGGATACTCAGTGACCTGGGTCACTACGTCATCGCCTGACTGGGCATTATAGCATGACTGTCAGTCAGCACGTCATAATATTACTCAGTATGCAGATGGAAATAATTTAGGTATTATTTACTCAAAAGAGAGTAAAAGTTGCAATTGTGTCTAACTGCGCACTTTGAATATGCAAACTATGACGTGACATACGAACAAAATAACCGACCGTAACCTACATTCTATTTTACACTTTATATACTATTAAAATAAAGTTAATTTTCGTATGCATAGTACACATAGAGCCTTTTAAAAATCGCCCGAATTTGAACTCACGCATCGCGACGCCGCATACCGTTTTTGAATTCATTCTACGAAACAGTCGCAGTCTAAAATAGACTTTAAGCACAAGGAAATACAATACATTTCACCTATTAATCAACACTTATTAATAAAATAGACCTTACTGCGTTGAAGTTGTGGTCGTAATTGGCATGTTTTGTAGAGACTGCCAAAATATCTAGGTCCCAATCCGGTTGATTTGGGAATGTGTGTCGCTAATGTAGGCCATCAAGGGGGGCGGAAGGAGGTGGGGGAGGCACCCTGAAACTACATATATCCTGAATACATAAATATCGCAAGTAATCATTATAACAATATATAATCTGATGGCCTCGGTTGTTTAGCAGTTTAGCACACTGTCTTACTTCCAATGGTCGCGGGTTCGATTCGCACGGTACAAACATATGTCATTTATTCATGATTATGATGGTTTGTATAGCTTGGGATTAATATATAGTATAATCTGATGGCCACAGTCGTCTAGCGGTTTAGCACACCGCCTAACTTCCAAACAGTCGCGGGTTCGATTCTGCGGACAGTATAAACATTTGTTTTCATGACTATGATTTTTAGAACTGGAGTGCGCTGTATGAATTATCCACAGATTTATTATATAATACAAATCACCAGGAATTTATATTCTTCAGTTCAAACAAAATCTTAAAAATGTATTTTGATATGAATAAAGATTTTATCTATCTATATCTACCTCTATCTAGGAGGTTAACCTGATAAGGTATTTTGTTAGCAATGGGGTTATTAGTCCATATTACTAACATTTCCCCATGTGGGGAAGTGGATTGTTAGTAATGTGGACTGACCCCATTGCTAGCAATGCACCACGTCAGGTTGACCTTCACGCGGTTCCCCCTGGAAACCGGAAACCTGGGCTAACTGACCTGACCTCATGCTCATCTTATCATCCTCCACTGGTGCCCCGCCAGCGTAAACCGCTAGTGCAGGCGGGTGCACTATTCCATTAACATATATTTTAAAAAAAACACTCCCACCTAGCGGTGCCCTCAGACTAAAGTCGTATCCGTCAGGCGGGAGTTGGTCTTCAGCCGCTCCATAAGTCCTTCCTTTGGTTTGGAGTATCATCTGCACTCGCCCCATCCGGTGAAGCTGTGAAGGCCAGCTGCGGCCAGCATTAGAGTAATCCGAAAAAAAAAACTTACTTGACTGGTAGAGAATGCCATCAGGCATTAAGTCTTTGCGGCGAGATATTGCATCTCTGTGCATTTTCTACCGCATATATCACGGCTGCTGAGTTTCACCACCGTACCACCCGCCAGAAACTGAAATACCATCCTGATCATCCGGGTGAATGGCGGTCTTCCACAGTGCGGTTTTCTAGAAACTTTTTGCCTCGCACAACCACATTGTGGAATCACCTTCCAGAAATGGTATTTCCGAACCGATACGATATTGAAACCTTCAAGAAAAGAGCTTATTCCTTTTTAAAAGGCCGAGAACGTACTTGCAATTCCCCTGGTGTTGCGGGTGCTGATAGGCGGCATGGTTGTCTGCATATGCCATTGCATTTTTGGCATTCAATTTCTACTATAAAAAAAAATGAATCTACATACAAACTACTTATAAATAATCACATCTGGTGTGAATCATACAAACATAAATATTAATGGACCTAAGCAATCTAATGCGTTACAAATGTATGTGTTTTACATCGTGGGCGTGCTTATTAAGCTAATGACCTTAATATCGCTAATCTAAATATGATGTATGTACTTGTATGTTGTTTGTATGAGGGTCACGTGTGCTGACATGGCGTTATATTGTTTGATTGGGACTGCAAACAAGCTGGCGGCCCACTTGAGTGAAACTGGTAGCTGAACTGACAATGCATTTTTTTATTGACAGCCTCCGTGGGCTAGTGGTCTAGTATACTGCTTTACTATCCGATGGTCGTGGGTTCGATTCCTCGCACGGTACAAACATTTGTATTCATGAGTATGATTGTTTGTATCGGTCTGTGTGTTT